TGCGGCAGGCCTCTGCCGGCTCGCTGGGCTGCAGGCCGCGCAGCTCCCAGCGCCGGCCACCTCGTCCCAGCACGTCCCACCACAGCACGCTCCTCTGCTTCGCAAGCCGGCGGGCCGTTTCTGCGATCCAGGGAGGCAGCGAGCTCATCACAGAAAACCACAAAAGAAGCAGCTGGAGCCACAAACACCCACTTAAACTGGCAGCTACAGGTGCTCGAGCTTTTGCTAAGAGGCAAATCGTTGTTTGTTTTCACCCATCTCAGTCCCGAGAGGCTACATGCAGAAAACAGCTCTGTGTAAAGTTCTCTTTATTACAGGCAACATTAGTCCATACAGTAATACACGATACTGACATACAAGTGTAATCTTTCAAAATCATCATTGAAACAGCAAAGACCAAGAAACAGAATTTTAACTACTCCATTTTCAAAAATTAATACTTTTTCTCCCAAGATCCTTTTTCAGTAAATTATATTGAAACATACAAATAGAGAAAAAATACCCATTCAACATATATTGTAGTTAAATGGTTATTTTGTTTAAAATCTTTAATAAGAAAATCGTTTTTAGCAACCTACATATAGATAAGTAGCAAACTTTGTTTTAAACAAATCCTCTCCGTTAAAAGATCTGAAGAATTTTCATCCATCATTTTCTTCTTAGCCCGTAACACTCTGTTTCGTAATACCTTGATACCTTAAAAGTTCTTCAGCTGAAGGACTGATGCTAGGGGGCTTCCTAGATATCATAACCTCTCTTCCCCCCTTCTATTTCCTAACTTTCTGTCCAACAGAAGGTGAGCAAGCACATAATACTTCAGATTTTTTTTTAAATCACCACTCTGTTTCATGAGAGCACAGACAGGTCTGCTCAATCCCCCTAAATCTACTATACTTTGCTCTTCAGGAGGAACAACATACGCCAATAAAAGCAGAAAACCTGCAGCTTTTCTGTCACATGCTTTTGATTATTGTCAAATTTTCTGGTTTATGCTTCCAGCTGATAACATGTATGTGTCATCTCAGTATTAGTTTAAATCTTTAAACAAAAAACTATATTTTCCAAAGTCATTATCGCTGGGAGCAATCAAGTGGTCTTTTCTGGCTTTGCTGAGCTTCATTCTTAAAACTTGTCTTCGCTCTTCCCACTCATGGAGTTCAGCATTTCCATGGGCAAATTTACAGTTGCTTCCTTCAGTGCAAGTACCAGCCATGTATCTGTCAAGACAGATTTCAAACAGTGTTTTCAGAGAACTACCACGACCACTACTGTATCTAGGTATCTGCCTTCTGGTCACATTTTTCAAATATGCTCAAATATTAAGGACCAAAAAAAACCTGGCAAAGTATTTACCTTTCAAGCAAGGCGATACTAACGCTGTTTAGCATTTGAGTATATTTTTCTTTCCCAGCTGTCAACTATTTACAGAGGACAAGAGATGGCTCTTTTCTTTCTGGTCATCATGTTCCTACTTTACCAAGTCATTTAATGCTTGAAACCTTTAACTCCATCAAGTCAAATTATCAGGTAAATTAATAGCTTACCATTTAACTCACTAACCTGAAGAACTACTATTGTTAAAATATCCAACTAATTAACTACCCTTTGTTAACTAAATTTGCTATGACTTAAGAATCTATTTTATCCTAGTATTTCTGCATTAAGTTATAAACATGCCAGCTGGTATGCACTTTATACTGCATATCCCTGGCCTGTTGGTGTTCAAAACACCAAATACCTTTAGGATGTCGCTTAAAAATCTAGTAAAGGGGGCATGTAAGCTTCCAAGCGAAGACTGCAAACAAAACCCAATCTGCTTCATGTGCTGCGCCATTTCTCGAGATCTCTAAGGCATTCAAAATCTTCAACTTGAAATGGAGCAACAAAGGTATCTGTACCAGCAAACTGAATCTTTAACCCCAGAACGTAGATTCCAAAGTTTTTATCCTTCCAAAAAGATTCCAACAGCACAAAGAACGTTCCACAGGTCTACAACCAACCTGCTGCGGTCAGGTAAACAGGCTGCATTTAACTACTGAAGGGCGCGGCAAAACAACCAACCAGTGCTGGGCAAACAGCGGGTTGGGGAGGTTCTCTTCCGCAGGTTCTCAGGCCATTTCCGATAGCAAATACCCAATTTTAGCCAATTTGTTTAGATGCTAACAGTATTTCTACTTGCCTTAAAGTGCCAGTATCACTGTCCAGCTAGGCACCATTCTTGTGTTCCACAGGTAATTAATATGCAGATGCCTAAGTAAACTCGTAATACCACTATATTTCACGCAGCTGCAATAACCTTGCAGCCATTTATTAACACCACACAAGCAGTTCACGTGGTTCCACAACTGGGCACCTTGTCGCTCCCCGAGTTCTAACAGCACGTATTAAAATGATGTTAATTGTTTCTCGTTGAAAGACATATGCAAAGCAAGAGATACTAGAAACACTGCCTGTCACAACTAAGAACTGCTTTAATTATTTACACTACGAACTGTCATTTTTTCAGCATTTTTGACATCTTAAAAACCACATACCTATCACAAATGCTAAAATATCCAGTTGGAAAGCGATACTGCCAGCAGTTTTGATCGTCCTCAGTGTGGAAAACCTTCTCTTTATGCTTTTCAGAAGAAATGTGACCCTGCCATTGCTTCTCACTATTACAGTTCTTCCCACACATCCAACAGTGAAAATCCACCTGTTTTACAGGGAATTTGAAATCAAAACATTGAAAATTCAACGCTGTAAGCACAGAACCGCTCCCAACACATTTTGAATGTTTTCTTTATGTTGGCCTGTAAATGCTTTACCTAAACAGATCCAGATATTTGGACAATCACCTGAACAGATACAGATGTTTAGACAATCACCTGAAGTTTCTGATCTCCACCGGCTTTAGCGGATTCAGACAAACTGCTCTACAGTGTCAGTTAAAGCATTTAGTGTAGCTAGCCATGATCTAAGGAAGCACTAAGAAAACACGGACGACAACGCACGTTACTGACCGGGGGAAAAACCCCCAACCCAACAAAACTCCCCATTTGAATTTAGAATGATACCTCTGATTACTTACTGTAACTTCAGCGTAGTCAGTCGGCATGTGAATTTGCTTCCCATTTTCTCTGTTTGCCTGAGCAGCCGTATCATCTCCTTTTTCTGGTTTTTGACTCTTTAGCCATATGTCATACAACTGCTCCAAGTCTTGAACTAATGAGAGCAGAAGCTAAAGTAAGTAATTAGCAATTAAGGCCAGAGTTTGAGAATACTAGACAAATGACTGAGTTTGCAAGCATAATTCAGTCCCCAGCTACTGTAAGCAGAGAAAAGGAAGGGCACAATGTGGACAGTTACACAGCTCAGAGACCCGAGCCAAGAGCAATACGAGTCTCTGGCTCCTTCCCAAGACCCATTTCTGCCCAGCCAGGGGAAGGGCAGATGTCACACGTTTCTGAACAGGCGCCCACAGTACAGGTAACAACTGTGCCGCTGGGTATCAGGACCTGAATTTCAAAGTACTCACATAGAGTGTGCTACAGTCCTTGGTAAATTTAATCTGCTTTCTTGCAGACCATGATATTACCATTTATGTCATTTATTACTTCTGATTTTCAGTTATTTCTCCCCAGTAACATTATAATGGGATAACAAGTAAACAAAGTGAATCATAATTAGGAGTAATTCTTCCACAAATAGCTTGCCTCTGTATGTTATCACCAGAATCCTCACATGTGCACGCGGCGAGACAGAGTATAAACACCAAACAACACTGCTGCATGGATCAATATACAATTCCTAAGCCATCTAAAAAAATTGATACAAACTATTGTTAAAAAGCACATCAAGCAACAAATATCTCACATAGCTATTATTATTTAATGTTTTTCAATATCCAGTCTGGGCTTGTTCAAACTGAAAAAAAAAAAAGGCACCTGCAAGGTTTACTACAAAAGACAGCGAAGGCAAGTGGATTGAAAAGTAATTGAGGAACAAGAACAAAAAGCAGAACAGTGAGATTTACGCTCTTCTACTTACTGCTGTTCTCCTTCATATAGGTCCACATCTCTCTTTCCTCAGGACTGTGAGCAAATGAGCAGTTTCCATCATACTGACACTTCTTGCCTGAAGCAATATGATTGCACAGCTGGAATGTGAATGAAAAAAAAAAATCCTTATGAATATAAAGTAAAATGGATTATAGTAGAAAATAGGGTTTTCTTTCCAGTCTTGGCTAGTGTTTCCCCTCCCAATCGACATTTGTATCACATGAAAAATAAAATCATGTTTATTTTCTAAAAAACTCATATATTGTAGTTAGAAAAAGCAAACTGCTGGAAGCAAGTACTATGAGTGCTTTTTACCTTCTACCAGATTACCAGATGACAGATATGTTTAAGCTGTTTCTGAAATATTTATGGGAAACAGTAAGAACTTAGTTAAATCACTTGAAAAGTTATTAACTTGCACTGATGAGAAAGGGCTTCAGTAACAACACATGAGATCAGTGCTTTTCTAAGCCTGAACTCTGCAGGAACACCGTAAACATACTCCCACCAACGCCCATGGGAATTTCTAGTATTTTCCAGTTACCCTGTTTTCTTAAGGAAGACATTAGCTTTAGGTTAACATACATCAAATTGCAGAGGCACTTGTTTCTTTGCGGGAAGAGGACGAATGGTCATCCACTTCTTACGTTCATTAGACATTACCAGCACCACACGGCGATCTTTGGTCCATCTGAAAAGCAGATGCATTCAGTGAAAGAAAACAGGATTAAAGAAGAGACGCCCTGGGGACACAGAAGCAGAATTAGGAAAGCCCAGAACGTTCTTTATGAAGCTTCCACCATATACTTCAGATTTAACTAAATTCTACTGAAACTTTACCATAACTGATAATTAAAAGCAGAACAAACAGCCACCAAAGTGTTTCTCAATACCAGCTATTAATATACTACAGAGACGACTCTGTCCTGCTTCAGTACGTTTTTTTTAATTCCTCCTATGACTCTTTCCTAAGCAGCAACAGTTTCCCAAGAGAGGTTTTAAATGGCTGACAAAAGGGTTAAGTTTTCACTGTTGGGTCGTACTTACGGGTGTCTTGCCTTTGCACTACAGTATTTCTTGTTTCTGTCTGGCTCATTAACTTGACCATTTCTCCAGCACTGACCACAAACAAACTTCATCTTCAAATTAAGTGATCCATATTTCATTTGGTTCCCAAGGATCTTAAGCCAAAAAAAACAACAACAACAACAACAACAAAAGGTATTTAGTATCTGCAAAGAAATCCATATGTAATTATGAATTACCCCTATGACAGAAGTTCACAACACACGTCTGGAAGCAGATGTTACACTGCATGTCTTGTAGCAGTTTAGCTTGTAATTGCAAACTAGGCATTTCCAAACAAACACATTTTTACTTCACTTATTTCTGACTTCAGTATACGTACCCAGAATTTGTGATAATACATACAAACTAAACACATAAAAGTCCTACATATTGAGAAGATAATTAATTGCCCTATGGCAGCTGACTTTGAAATTGTATTTAGGTTTTATGTTCCACCTATGACAGAACAAGCAAAGCAAAAGAGAAATTGCTTAGAGGCAAAGCAGGCATTTTAGTGTAAGTGGAACAAGCCAAAGAAAGCCTACAGTGAAAGAGATTATTTGAAGAGACATTAAAAAAGTAATTTCTAAAATTACCTACATTATACACAGACATAGAAAAAGAAGTATCACCAAAGTCCCTGTAGAATTAGTTTAATGGAAAAACGAAAATACCTGTGATCCATGTGCACTAGCTTCCATGTTCTGCCAGTATTTCTTTGATTCTTGAACAATAGTATCATGTGAAATACCTGTAAAGGAAGGGAACTAGTTCTTGAGCACTTACGACTGTTGTAGAATTACAGACAGGCCCAAACTGGAACGCTACTGAAGCCCCAAGGCTTTTATCTGTTTCTCTTTTTACATATTGTATACATATACACACACTCATGTGTGGGTGGGGATATACATTTACAACCATACACACATATACATGCTTAAGAATTTCATGAGGGCCTCTGAAACAGAAATATTGTATGTATCATCACACTGAAAAGCAAACATAGAAGTTTTTAAAAGTACAGATTGCTCATACAAGTTAAGGTGCATCTGTGAGTATTTATTTAAACATAACATACTAAACCTCTAATGACAATCTAATTAGAAAAGCTGCATTGTTCTATGGACCACAGTAAACTATCCAAAATGCAAGCTGACAGACACTAGGCTGCCCCTGCCTTTTTTTTTTTTTACACAGATTTCAAACAAGGCCTGTTAATTAGGTATTGTTTCAGAAAAAAACCCATTCTTACAAACACTTTGGCTAAGATTCCTATCAGAGCTAGAGTGTTCACACACAGCGTAACATTTACTGCTCTAGTTCCACACAAAGACAGACTGTCAGCTGTGTTTGGATCTAAGTGTCAGTAAGACGTCTCTCTCCTGCGGCAGCGTTCCTTCCCTTCCCACATCTCGCATTCAGAAGGGGAACCCCATTCACGGGGCAGAGACTGAGCTCCAACTGACTCGGGCAAAGCATGAACACATCGTAAGATTAAAAATATGCCATCTGTGGCAAATCAAGCTTCTTGGAGAACCCAACCCTTACTTCAAACGAGAAGTTATCGTGTAAGTATGTGCTATCCTTGACTTCGTTGGGGCAGCTGGTAAGAAAATAACTGCTTTACTTTCACACAGGAACTGCTAAAGGCTCATCCCAGGAGCAACAGAACAGGAAATCAGGACAGAAACAGTCATCTCTTGTCTCGGTTTGCCTTCCTCCCTCCAAAACGTTCAGGTGAGTGTGACATCTGTCAGTACGCCTGTACAAGGACCTAGATAGAAAACTGAAGCAACAAGGAGCCTCTTCAAAGAAGGGATGGGTGAGGATAGATCACAGGCATGAAGGGGCAAAAAGGCCAGAAAGCTAGTGACGCCCTGGGACTGCCACATTTCCCTGTTTCCTCCATGCATCCCAGCAATCCAGCATGATTACTCAATATGGAAAGTACTGCTGTCAGACAGAGCAAGGTAGGAAGAATGAGCAACTGTTACATGGTAGAAATTATTTACTGCTAACAGTTTGATTGCCTTTAAAAAAAAAAAAAAAAAAATTTAAAAAAGCCAACACGTAGAGTTTGGAACTCCTGACCAAGCCATGGGCTGTAAGTGCAGAGACATGTCGCTCAAAAGCCATCAGCTAGAAAGGAAGTAGTAAGATTTGTTACTCTCAAAGAAGCCAACAAGAACAAGCAAGATCAACAAAAACCAGCCTAAACATCCCTATGTAAGCAAGAACAGAACAATAGTTCAGTTTTATGAACACATACACTAATAAGAGACAGAGTAGCAAACTGGAAAGATTTATTTTCTCGCTGACTACGTCAGAATATCAGAATGGCACTAAGCTAAAAGGAAGGTTTAACTGTGAAAAAACTTGATTCTTGCACTGGTGGATGGAGGGAAACAATGGCATAAATACACTATTTCAAGCTTTTCTTTCAGTGCTCTGTGAGAAGTAAATTTGATCAAGATCTTCCAAATTTTGAAGGTTTAGAAATAAAAACAGATTTAGTCTGACTTGGATTTAGTATCTGCTCAAGAATTCTAGAAAAAAAATCTGACCATAATGAGTAGTTTTGACAGTTTTTATTGTCAAAAACTTCCTAACTTTGACTAGCTAGTAGGCTGCTCAGCACTTTTGATCATATTTACATTACTGTTTATTGATTATGCTGTATGAAAGATCCCAGCCAATTATAAGTGAACGCACTGATCCCACGCTGCTAATTTCAGCAGGGAGTTAAGACAAGGAAGAAGTGGCATTACAATGAAGAGTAAAGCGAGCATTTTACCAGACATACCTGTTTCCTTTTGCATTATCCAGACTTTAAGCTCTACCAGACTGTGAGCGTAAAAGCATTTATCCTCTCGCAAGCAGCCATAATGCACCTCATGTCTGCACAGGTCAAGCTGACATCGAACTTGAAAAGGGCGGATTTTGGAATATTTCACCATAGTTTCCCGCAAAATGTGGACAAGGCACCTGTTTTGAAAACAGTCAATTTTAGATATTCCTTAAAATTACTTTGTTCATGTGTGGAAAAACATGTAAAAAAAAACCATCCCTCATCAAAGTTCATTCAAATGTCTTTTTAACACTTTTTACATGAAATCAGAGCCAAAAAAGTTTCCATAGCATCTAATTATCATTTCTAGGCCAAGCAAACCAACATCACAACACAGTACTCTTGTGAAATGCAGAGGTCCCTGTTCTGCAAACCATTACTGAATTCAGTCCAGCTGGATCACTGGTTTCCAAGGGGGAAAGCAGATGATGTCCGCTTTCAAGTATATATCCTGATCTAATTACATGCAGAAGTACTTACTCCTTCTGTAGTGCACCATTAAAGAAAGAGTTGATGCATCAACACTAACAGCCTAGCTCTTACAGCTGCAGTGCTTCCTCAACATGCAGAAGCGGAGTACAAAACACAGCAATTAAAATGCTCCCACTTACGTTTCCATCATATAAAAAATGTATGTCAATTAACTCTCCAAGACTTATTTAATGCTATTACCACTATGAAGTCTTTGTCAACTTCCAAAGAAAAATTAAAGACACTTTCCTCACACTGTTTTTATCAGCTGAACTAGGTCTAGTTCAGACGCTGTAATTAAGGTAAATCTGTTCTTAACTGACTGAGTTAAAACTACAGCATAGTAAGTAAAACAGACTGAAGAAAGAGCAAGCTTAGGAATTCCTTTATTAATTTAACATCACACACCTATTTACACCAATGCAGCTCACCAGATAGATAAGCTATTAACAGACTGACACCAAAACCAGGAGGATTCAAACATGAGGGTGGACATGACTAATTTTGAATGCATTGATAAAGAAATCGTTCACTTTCAATTCAGTTACAGGAGACAATCCTTGTTCAGTAAGTTTGTCTTATCAATACTGCCAAAGCATAAAAGCAAGGAAGAGGAGTTAATCAACAAGTAAGAAACGAAAGTCGGTATTAAAAAATGCCCTGAAACTTTTGCTTTTAATTTGAAACTTAGAGAGACAGTATTTCAGACATACTTGCTATCTTCAAAGTCATGCATAGCAGGGTGAGAACAAGAAGATGAGTTATCCTTGTTCCTTTTGCTTATTATTCTGGGTTTGTGATCAAAACATTTCTGGAATACAAAAACAGGTAATTACAGAGTATGTATTTTATACATCTAAAAATATACCCTACCTTAAAGATTTTAACAGAGACTTCAACTAGCCTCCAATCTAAAGCTAGCCAGATTATTACTGAACACACACTTCAAAGTTTACAAAATAGCCATGCATGAACCAAAGCATTTCTTTCCAGGTAATTTTATTATCTATTCTTGCTTTTGTTGTGTCATTAGAAATTAAGCAGCACCTCACAAAGAAACATAAATAATCCATGATGTTCTTGAAGAAGTCGGGACACAGTCAAGTTGATCTTTCCATTTCCTCCAAAAAGAGCTTCTCGACTAAAGGCTCCTTTGCGCTCCAACGTCCACACATCAATCTCCTCTTGGCAATACGCAAACGTGCAATGGTTGGAAACTCACCACGAAACTTCCACCATTTCCATTTCAAATCTTTTTAATAAAGAAGCTACATCTGTAGTAAACAGGGCACTGAAGTCCAGCAGACAGAAGCAAAACCTCGTGCTGAATGACTTGCTGAGGATGTAAAACACCTCAGAAGGGCTGATGCACACCTCCATCAACTACCCTCTTCTAGTCTTAGGCAACAACGCTGAGAACCCAGAATACCCTTTGTTAAATCTAGCTGGTAATTAGTCCACGAGTCATCTTGCTTACAACGTAAGTAAAGGTTCATACTGCACAAGTCTAACAAGAGTGCTTTTTTGTTGTTGTTTCGAACAGTAATAGCCCAGCACTCAGAAACAAAGTTATTCACGATGAAGAGCAGTACAGAAGCACAGTGCATGTTCTCCAAATAATCACATTAATGGTCAAAATATGGCTCTCCTTACAGCCTTTGAAAATCCAAACAACCCAGTGAACTTCCTTCTCCACCTCCCACGAGCAAGAATAAAAACTTGTTCTATAATTCACTGTGGAAAAGCTAAACTCTATTGCTTTGAGTGTAGGCATTAACATTTTACAATCTATAACACGTACCTTTACATATATAATATGGTCCCACATACTGTGTCTTTGTTGGTCTGGGACGTATTTTTTTCCATGATTTATCTTCAGAGTTTTTTATTCTGCCAATTAGAATATCCTTCTTACATTTATGTTCTAAACTGGGATGGTAAGCGTAATCCAATAATTTAGGACCTGAAACAATCACCGAAAATATTTGCATAAATTGCAGCATACTTTTAACATTTCCACACACAGACTGGCACGTACGCCCAAAAGCAAAGTACACGAACACACTGTATAGGGTTCCTACTTGCACCAGCAACTGAAGAACCAGAAGTCATTAACAGCCATGTTGAGCAGAACAGAAAAACCCCGAATACTTACAAAAGGACCAATTTTCGGCAAGAAAAAACCCAGAAGTTATTTGGGAGGGATGCTGCGTTACAAGCTTAAGATTACTTTGGGACAGCAACAAATTGGTGTATTTTTTGAAATTCCAAAGTATATGTTTCCATAACACTAATGTGAAACTTAAATTGCTAATTTATAGTAAATCCATGCAGATGAAATCCAAGATCAGTAAATGGCTCTCTTAAACTTTTATTGTCTTGAGCAGTTACTACGTTCAGAGACAAAACATGCCAGCTAAGAAGTACACACATGCCAAAAATATAAACGCCAATCCCAGAGCTTTGTCATTTTGGAAACAAAAATACGCCTAGCTTTAAACTCCATCTTTAGTCTCACCCTAAAGTATTACATTCCCAACAAAATGAAGAACTCTGAGAGAGAGTCTGAAGACAAGCCACACTCGGTGAATTTTGCTGTTTAAGGGACTACAAAGACAAGAGTGTGACCCAGTTTCCCTGGACAAGCAGCTGGCGGAACAGTACCATTTCAAAGGCAGGTAGTAAAAGCAGGAGACACTGAGAGGCTTTGATAGAGATGCTTTTTGTGTAAAAATGATTTTTAACTACTATAAAAGTTCTTAAAACTACAACAGTCATCCCCTAAATGTCTCAATACAATTCTTTATTAGTATATCAATTACACCTGTAACTTGAAACATAACGCTTATTTTTAAGATTAGTCTTAATAAAAGCTATTGCCTCTAGAATACAGCTCTTCGTAACAGCAACAGCTCAGGCCTAAAAGATTAGTTATATTACAGCCCAATGCCAGTTAAGATCCTTTGAGTCAATACAGTGGAGTTAATTATTACTCAGGTTGGGAAGCCTCAGGATTATGATTTAGAATTAGTTGGAAAGAACAAAAAAACAGATGGGATGTGAAGGTTACCAGGTACTCTGAACTGCGGTTCAATTCCCCATGGCCAATCAGAGAGTACTGCGAGTTTTTTTTAGTCTTGAGCAAAGGTGTCATTCTTCACAGTACCCTGGGGGTTGGGAGGAAAGCGAATACAGAATGTGAACCACCTTACGGAGCAAACCTAGAGGGTGGGGAAAGCGTGCGGTGATTTGCCGTGGGTTTAGGAATCAAGAATCTATTAGGACAAGAAATAAAGACAAGAAGAAAGAAGATAAAATAGTTGTTGAAACTTTTACCAGTTCCTTAATCATAAGGTCACACTACATCTGCAAAGAACAAGTCACGATTAACATTCTTGGGAAGCCAGCAGTATTTTAAACTTACGAACACTAGAATTTTAAATGTATGCTTTTAAATTTTTTAAAAATAACCCAGTTGAGTCCAAAAGCCCCTTACCTTTTTTGACAAAACATAACTGGCAGGCCTGTCTTAGCTCATGTGTGCCTTCTAATGGGTTTCTTCCCACAAGTGCTGAAGATACAGGTATATTAGCAGTTGCACTGCTAAAAACATTTGAAAAGTCATTTCTAGTTTGGCCTGCAACTCCCATGTAATTTTCGGACCCAAACAAACTACTAGGGCCATTTATCTGTTGGAAGAAAGCACACTGTACTTGATCCATATAATTTAAATCATCTACAATTAAAATTTAACCTACTGAGTTTATTCTTCAAAGTATAAGATAGAGTACACACCAAAAATTCATCATAAAAACTTAACCGCGTGCCTAAGCAGGGGACACAGAGACTACAAAAGCCTTGTAGCTGGCACAGACTAAGCACGCAGCAAGACCCGGCCAGGTACAGGGAGCAGAGCAGCACTCGCCAGGCTCAGCACTGCTTCCCCCACCCCGGCTCACGAGCAGGCAACCCTCCGCGCCACCCCTCCCCACACCACCAAGCAACGGCCAGCAGCACGACTGAAACCATGCCGCACGGCCAGACGACGGAGAGCAGACGGACTCTCAGACACAAGGCGAGAGTTCTCTCTCTGCTCTGCTCCTCTACTAGGACAGCTCTCTGGGGTTCCTCACATTTGGCACTCAGATCAGGAGAGATTTTCTCTCTCTTAGGTTGGCTATTTCGCACTTCCACAGTATTTTACAGCAAGTTCCTCAGAATGGAAAAGTGGCTATGGCAGCAGTCAAAGTTTGCATATGTAAAACAACATTTGTAAATTTTTTCTTGTGCTCAGTTACCCTCGCTGTGAGCTACCGCACCACTGTTTTCCAGACCAGAATCATATTTTAATAGTAAAAGGGCCATTTTTAAAAAATAGAAACTTCTACTACAAAAATTAAGGTCTATGTTAAGCCTTCAAGGCATTAACATTTGAACTGATGTGAAAGAAAACATGAAAAATACTTACAAACAATGGGGAATTATTGCTGCTAAGGGTTGGTGTTCCATCCTTAGAAGATGAACTAGAGAGGTCTGAAGGAATAAAAAGAAGTTTTAATTATTTCAATTCTCCAAAACACCCTATGCAACAAATCATTTATCATTCCTGAGAAGCAGAAGTATCAAAGGTTTGTTTTTTTGACAGATATCAAAGGATTTTTGTTTGCTATCATTATTTTTTCAATTATGTAAGAGGCCCTTGTAAACATCTGGGATGAAAAATTACTAGGTGATCATCTTTGGTGTAACCATCTGATTAACATCAGCAGTAGCTTCACAGGCGTGTGCTGGGGCAACACAGAGATACTTCAGCAGTACCAAGAGGGTCACTAGATAAGCAATTTATCACAACAGCGATTTATGAAAAATGAGATGAAAGAGGGTTAAGAGGATTCTTTTAATTTTAATTTTATTGTGTAAATTTGGCTTTGTTCTAAAGACGGCATGCTCCTGTAACACTGGTAGAGACAAAACTTGGGTTTATCTTTTCTAGTTCACTGGCTATTTGTATCTTGTTATTTCACATACCTGATTTCACTACGTAACTATAGTCCCTGGAGTTTGAATCCAAACACGTAATAATGGTATCTTTTCAGAGTACACAGTTACATTAGCCTTTTAGAATTCTTATTGCCAAATCATCAGAAATGGTTTAAGCTGTAAGAAAACCTTTGTTTTTAGAAAAAAAAAAAAATTGAAAGAACACGATTCCTTCTTTATACTTGGGACAAATAACTCACACAATAAACAAACGCAGAAAACCTGAACTGAGCTAGGAGCACGCTTATGCAGGCCCCAAGTAAAAAGAAACTTCATTACCAAGTTTTGTTTGTACAACCAACACTGATTATCAATACTTTCAAAAATTGTGAGCACAGATCAAATGTTATGTACGTGTTAAATACTACCGAATAGCTGTGAAAACTCATCTGTTAGCAAAGAGAAGCCAGTCGGCTCACGCACAACTCACTCTCATCAGAAAAAGTGAAATATTAAGACTCCCTTCTTACCTCTTTTTGGGTCACTGATTGAAAATGTGCTTAATGGCGAACAAAAATTTTCCAGAGAAGCCGCTAAAGGCTGTGAAAATATTTCTGAAAGAGAAGGCGAGGGAACAAATCCTGCACTAACTGGGAGCGTCCCCAGCAAGGAGGCAGAGAAGGGCACGCTGGGAGAGACGCTTCCTGCAGCAATAGGTCCTCTGGCTCCTGCAGATTGCTGGAAGAAAAGAAATGTAAAAAGACTGCTCACACACAGAAAAAACCTCTCAAGAACACAATGTGCGATGTGCTCAAGAACACAACGGGCTCTCCCCCAAGAAGCCCCCCTTGCCCGGAGGGTGACCAAACTGTCAGCCCCGAGCCTGGCCAGCCTGAACCCCCTCTGCTCCCCAGCTCGCTCGGGATTCTGCGCTACATGAGACTGCAGTCTGCTTCGGAAGATCGTATTTCCTCCTGGCTTTCGTTATGTCAAACTTAGAACAAAACAGAACAGACTATTTCTGACAGAAGGGACCTACAATGACCATGTAGTCCAGCTGTTTGCCCAATCCAGGGAACTTCCTAGGATCTTTTAAAAATAATTACTTTCTGCATTTCCGAGATACATTCTACCAGACAATGCACATAAACCAGAAAATTAGAAGGCCACACATTTTTTTGATTTAAAGATTTACAGTTGCATCCACAGCTGAATGAGGAATTAAACCCACATCTAATTAATAAGAATTAAATATGCCAGAGCCTCATTTAACACTGCAATCCTAAGGGCTCCACATCACTGGCAGGGCCACAGCCGAGAGTCAGCAACCTCGCTACGAAGTTCAGACGTCTCTGCTCATCAACCACAGCTCACACTCTAACAGCTGAGAAACTCCATGCGCTTCGCAGTCTGGTCTAGCTCTGGAACAATGGCATAACAACAACTCTTCATGTGCCCAAATTTCTCTAATAATCTCTTCTAAACAATACAAAAAGTTAGACTCGTGATTGTCTAACTATTTCTGGTTATCCAGGAGGTGGATCCGGACTAAGTGCTGATGGCAGAGATACTGGTGAACGCATGGGAAAAGCACAGCACAAGTACCACTGTCCTGCAAAGCCATGAGCACAAGTTTAACTACAGTTTCCACAGCTACAGGGTGGGCACTCCAATGCAGTCCCAGGTTCTGAGAGGGTTTATCTGCACCAAAAAAAAAGCTCCAAAACACACACACACCAGCCCCGACTTACAAATGCCTACTTCACTATTTATAGCACTTCCTGGAAGCAGGAACCCTCCCCCACTGTGGTACTATCGGTAGTAGCATAGCAGTATTTCTGAAGTAGCATCTCTCCCCTGGCAACCTCGCTCAGGTTTTCCAACACACAAACCTCACATAATTGCCCTTGGAACTCTGCTGGGTCCTGGTATCTTTACAGCCACATTTACAAGAATCCGCATGCGAGAAAATCAACCCAATCACGCACAAATCCAGCTCAACGTAACTAGGAAAGTTAACTGGCACTTCACTACTAGCCCGCTGATACAAGTAAAGATCCCCACTCATAAGGATAGTCATTTGCGAAAGAAAACAAACAAGTCTTACCATTACACTTTCATCTGGATCAGGCACAGAATCAAGTAATTCATCGAGTTCTTCCCCAATAATTATATCTCCATCTCCACAATCTAAACATGCTTCTGGCATAGAGAAAGAAACATTCCCTCCATTTGCCAACACTGCAGAAGGCAAAGAAACCTTTTCCACTTGAAGAGGCAAAGCAGCCGATAGAGGTGGTACTGACGACACTGTCGACACTTCGGAAACAAAGCTTGATGAAGCAGTGGCAGAAACGACCTCTTGCTTCTGGTCAGATAAATCTGAAACAGGTAAGATGGCAATGACTGGAACTTTTGTTCAAAGATGTAAAGCTATCTCGCCTAACCTCTACCCTGACAATGCGGGCAGTGAGGGAGTGGAGAAGCACGAAGAATGTTTAAGCAAAACCACATTAAATGTTGTCAGCTTCCACTAACTTCTAATTCACATGTACTTGTATCTCAGTGTTCACACATTACTCAAACTACAGAAGACAGCAGAAGCTACGGACCTGATACTTCACTAGATCCCTGGCATACTCTCCTCTCCCTGGTTTTCCAAACTGAAGACAACAGTATGAGACAATCACTACAGGAGCAGTTACAATCACATCAAACTGAAGAGGCTGAACAGAAGTTTGCTCAGCCACGTAAACATGTAGTTTCAGAGATAAACAGATCAGACATTTTACCATAGATCTCTCAAATGACAAGATGAATTTTCTTAAGAAATACAAATACAACTCAATATGCATGGCAGATCTAGCTTCCTAGCATTAATATTGTAACACAACAAGACTCACCTAACTCAATATCTTCTACAGAAGAAGAATTCTGGAAGTGAGAAAAAAATTCCTCTCAGCTCTTTGCACAACAGCCATTAAAAATTTTCAAATACATATTTACAAACTAAGAATGTAAGTCGTCAAATGTAGGCGTTATAAAATTTGAGATTTATGAAGTCTAATGGAATTTAAAGGCCAAATAACTTCTTCGATAAAGCATCCATTTGCATTCTGAAGTCCACTCATTGTATCACTAAAAAACAGCAACCAACAAAAAAGTGCGAGTGATACTTCAAGGAATGAGGGAGTCTAAACAGTATCTTAAATGAGCTGTTCCCGTGTCTTCTCATTCATTTACAGCTAAATTGTCTATATCCCTGTGAAAAAATAGCCAGTAAGATAAACTCCATTACTGCTACTCAGACTCATTACAAATGGCAAGATAAATGCAAGTTCAGCTGCTAGTGAAGGTCAAATTTGGACAAATGCATAAATTAAAAGGGATTTCCTCCCAGCACCCTTTACTTGGATAACTGTCAATAAAATAAAATAAAAAATCAGCACATTAACTCTGCCTTTGCCTCAAGACATGAAAAGTAAACATATTCATTGCACTGGATTTAATTTTTCAGCTAACATTTATTCTACAAAGATAAATTGAATGATAATCTTACGTCCTAGTCTGCCATAAATATATAGCACAGCTGAACACAAAGATCAACAGAACCCTGAAATGGAAAATAACAGCATCTTACATAAAATGTCAATTGCACAACTTTCACTTCACCACCATGAAATTAGGAAACAATCTTTCCCTGTAGTTTAAAGTCAGCTTGCACTTGGAACAGGTAAAATCTTACCTGAGTTGACACATCACTAGAATCTGAATTTGAGGAGGGTGGCTGCAACAAAAAGATACCTTCATTAAGTACAAAACTAATATCAAGAGAGGGAAACCTCAAGTAAAAGGTTAAAATAAAACCTTACCTTTGCTCTTACATATGCTTTCCGTATTTTCAACCCTAGTTTTTGAGCTAGTTCTTGGGTAAGCTTAATCACACTTTCATCCTAAAAGACATAAATAAAATTTTACAATTTACATTTATTGCTGTCTAGTCAAGACATCCATTTACATCTCAGTCTATATTCTGCAAGATCTCTATATGCAGAAGGTCTCATAATGCATCTTTATTCTTTCACAGACATACGGAACTGCAAGCCAACGCTGAAAAAATACAGCCACCCTTTTTGAAAAAAGCCAGAAAACAGACAGTATCCTTCTCTTCCATTTATTTCAATTCCAAATAATGTAAGAGTTTTCCAAAACCAGAGAAGTTCAGAGAAGTGGGGTTTTTTGTGGGTGGGTATTTTTTGGTTTTATTTGGGGGAGGGTGTTTGGTTTTTGAGGGAATGGGGGTTTTTCATTGTTTTGTTTTCACAAATTGAGGGCCACATTTCTGATTATCATGTCAGCTGCTACATAACACTGCTGAGTATTTAATGAGAATTCCATATATCGGCAGGAATTGCATCACACAACTATCAAAGCTGACTTAAAAACTTGGTCATATTTCACTCTGTCCTGTACTTTTAACAACAGTCCATTTAAATTATTTCAAGATTTAGTTTTCAGAACGTGTCCTACAGCTATGAAAAGGTATTTATAAAAATTTATATACAGGCACACAAACCTTAAGTGAAAACATTCGGATCTAGAGGTGCAAAGTGAGGATCCAAAGCCCAAAATTACACATCCAGATAAACTGCTGGGTCTTTGGAAACACAGCTGAAACCTGCTCTATATCAAGAGGTAAACCTATGCTCAACAGATTTTCCAGCCATTTCCCTGGGATTTCGATGCAGAAAGGCAGGAAAAAATGCAACTCAGTATTCTGTCCTGTGACCACTCTACTTTGAACAAAGCACGTGAAGTTTCCATCAGCATTTTAGTTCAAACCAGGGATGGATTTCTGAAGTGAATCTCTTAAATCATCCTCACACTGCATTTTAGTCTGCATTAGAAGTGTCTCAGAGAGCCAAATTAGATTAATTCTGGATGAAACTAAATTTAAAGTGCTGCAGGAGTGCACTTGATGCACTCCAACTCTTTTAAAAACAAACCAAATCAAAATCCCACAAACAACGACGGAAACCACATCCTCGGGACCAGCGTTTCAGCCTGCAGATCCTCTCCTGCTGCTCCACACACCGCTTGCTAACACACATACAGCCGGAGATTGGAGGTGCAGAGCAAGTGATTCAGACAGAGGACAATGCACAGATAAGAATGTTACTGAATGCTTGGAAAGGTAAAATACAGTCATCAAAAGAATCAATATTGTACGTTCTAATTAAGCATGGTTTTCCTCTTCACGTCGTGAGTATACTTCTGACTGCAGAGAATTTTAAACAATTGACTCAGTGGTTCTAGTGTTTATTGCAAACTTCTACGGCACTTGACCCCACTGCAAATTGACTTTCTCTTGCTGAAAGTTAACACAACAAACTGAGCCGAGGACTGTAATCTCTGCTATCAGTCTTCACTGCCACAACAAAAAAATTATCCTTAGAGGAATAAAAAAATACTTTACTGCATTAAAAAAAACCAAACCAACCAAAAAACCTTTAATGATCTTGGTGTTAATATACATTTCCTGTATTAAATCTTTAAAAATAATCATCAGTATATAATTTACCTACCTGTGGGACAGCGAGAGAACATTTTGCTACAGCATCATAAGCCTTCTGATACTTTCCCAATTCATTCAAAGCTTTTGCTTTCCGATAGAGAGCTCTGAAATTGTTTTCATTCAATCTTAATGCTATCTCACAGTCATCTAGAACTTTTTCATGCAACCCCTACGAGGAGAAAAAAGAAAGAAAAGAGACACACTAATCAGAACTATTATCATCAAGTTACCGCCTTTAAACCATGTTAGATGAAGGTCCTGAAACACCACAGCAAGGCGACTGCACACGCATGTGGGAGTTTTTCCAGGTCACCAACTCACGCGACTGGACAGAAGCAGGGCCATTATTTATGTAAAATCCAGTATCAGTTATGAAGATGATTTAGCTCTTTCACAAGAGGCACCATATGCCACAGAGAGAGCGGCACACTCAGGTGCAACCAGCAGTATAAACAGATAAAGCTACTGTTCCATCAACTTCCAAGCCTAGTATGACTCTTATGTTAATATTCCAGTATTAGTAACTAAAAATATCTTGATGATTATACTTGTAAAAAGAAGATATTAAATAATATGCCAAAATGATGACTGGAAACACGCCAATTCTCAAACCGAGAGCTTTCCGCACAGCAGGAAACCTTCCCTGGCTTCATGCTCTGTTAGCACACTGCTCTTGTGCAATCATACCGTTCAGAGAGAAGCTTACCATCTTTGAAAAACATGCTATCCTGTTCACGTGCAGCTTCTCTAAAATATCATCAGAAACATGGATTTCTTCAGAATTTGCATAATCAGCTATATTTATAGCTTCTGTATAGTGACTCAATGATCCTCTCCAATCACCTTCGCGATATACATCATTCCCTTCATTAAAAAGATTTCTAACGAGCTCTCGTATAAATAACTGGAACAGAGAAAAGACACACTCATGAACAGCACTTTTGCTGCGTATCTTCCATATTCCCAAATACATTTTTAAACAGAAAATTTATACTTGTAACTCCACAGAATCAAAATGAAATGCAAAACTTCTGTCCATACTAGTAGCTTTATTCCAACATTTCTCCACGACAATCTCTAATATTCACCACAATACATGTAAATAAAAGAGAGGCTGAACTACTAATAAAAGAATTAGTTTGCATAAGTTAAAAAAGACATGCACATCTACGTATGTTCCCTACATTCTTTTAGCAAGCAGCAGCCACAGCAACTGGCACAGCAGTAGTACACAAAGGCTGCTTGCAGAGCCAAAGATTTCTTTTAATCTAAAATTAGATAAAAATGCAATCGTTCAGATATCTTCTCAAATCCAATGAAACCACCTACCATTGGATAAAAATGCTGAAAAGATGACTCTGAAAATATAAGTCAGAAATTATGCAAAATAGTAACAGCGTATAGACGCAAAATATGTTACGAAGACGTATGTGACTGATGTCCTTTGACTGCACTTTTGCTGTGCTGCTCTAAACTTCACTCCGAATAGCACATTGTTTTATCCAATGAATGCCCCAAATCCATCCCTAACACCAGGAGAGCGAGAGTTCATCTGAACTGCTATACGACTGAATTCCGGGCATCCAAGTATCTGAATACCTGTATCACAATGGAAGTAATCCTCCCGTTCCAATGTCGAGATACTGTAAATTATCATTCATACGACACCACTACTTCAATGATGATTAAAAACAAGAATAAATATAATAAGATAGGCCCCCGTTAAAAATCCTTCTGGAAATGTAGAAGTAATTTCATTACCTCATATTGTTCTTGTGTCCCTGGATAGGGCAAAGTAGACCTAGAAAGGCAAATTACAACATTTACTTATTATACATCTTGCTCAAAAGACAATTACATTGAAGAAAACTTGTTCCTTCTAAAACCAGCCTCACGGGCTGCAACAGGCACATCCCGAAACGCTGCCTGCACCGAGCAAGGCGGGAGGGCTGTGGGTTAGCTCTGACCAAACGGCTGTGTTTGCTCTTTACTAATGACTCGTCTTCATTTAAAGTTCCATAGCCAGTCCTAACTCCGTGGTTCAAACTGTATTTAGGTTTTGAATGCTCTGAGTTTAAAACTTCTCTGTTGTTAGTCTAAAAACAACTTCCCTCCTCTCCTCCACTGTACAGAAACAGATTACGCATCAGGAGAACTGCAGTCTCCTTGTAAGTACTATAAAATGACACATTATCTGTCATAAGAAAACATCAATTTTAATGAAGTCATACCAATGACACTACAGGAATTTTAACAGTTCTTTTGCATGACATACATCAAGAGATTTTCTCTAGACAGAACAGAGGTATTTACTTCCAACTTTTCAGGAAGAAAAACAGGAAGCCTTTCCCTTCCCATATAGGCCATCTGAGAATCTGTTTCTGAACAATTTTTAAAGGGTAGTTTTCTTTTTTCTTTCCCTTTTCTTTAAAAAAAAAAAAAAAGAAAAAAAAAAAGAAAAAAAAAAGAATGCCTGATGTGAGCAGTGAACTAGTGTGACATTTCACCACGATTTTAAGCCAGCCAGGATCTTCTGGAGAGGAATTCGGCACTGATCTAAATGATAATTAACTACTAAGGTGATTTTTCATTAAGTTAAATTTTAGCTCTGAGAGTTGAAACACTTGGGTAGCAGTAAGCAAACCCACCCCTTTCAGCAGCAATCTAGTCTTAGGTGTCGCTGCCCATAAGCATAAGGCCGATTTTCAGGCTATCAACATTTTCCACCCACCAAGAAAAAGCAGTGCCGATTTTTCCCACAGGCAGCAAAAGAACACCCTCCCACCCTCAGTCTGCCCTGTCTGGGAGCAAAGGGGGGTTCTGTCTCTTCTTTAAGCCTGCTCTCTGTTTCCACGGTCGTGTTAGCAAATGTTCTGGAGAGGAACACGGCAGGCCCTCCGCCCTCCTCCGCTGCCGCTATACGCAGAAGACCTTCCCAGCGCCACCCATCTCTGATACACACATGTATAAGGACACAGCAATAAAACCGCAAAACCATACTCTATAAACTGGAGTCCTTTCTTAATGTCCTGTTGTCTAGTGCTTCTCTCTTCCGACACATTGGACATGTTATCCCGAACATCCACTTTCCGGATACGCCACTCCTGGAAAAGGCAGGCAGGCAGACGGCTGTTAACACACCGCAGTTCACGTCTGGAGCAGACGGACCCCATCTCACACCAGCGCTCGCCCACTGCGCACAGACGACACGCAGCACCCTCAGCGCAAACCCCAGAGTCCCCAGACGGAGCCCCCCTGTCCCACCGCATCCTGCGGAAAACTCGGCTTCCAGCAGCCACCGACCACGCCGCCACGTCCCACCGGCCGCCCTCCCCCCCGAGGGGCACAGGCGGCCAACCACACCCAACC